GGAGGAGACGTCACGAATGCTAGCAGGGAGGGCATTGTAGTAATCTAGGGACTTGTACGGTGGGGAGTCTTTACAGCGATCGGTTCTGGAGGGTGGGAGGTGCCAAGTGCGTGCGTGTCGAAGGCTGTACTGGGCCGTAACTTGAGCGGGGGTGTTGAGCAAGCGTATGTGTTGTGGGGCATATTGGTATTTTATGGAGTGAGCAAGAAGGGTGAGCTTCACTTTGCGGCGAGAGAACATTGTCGGCCATTTGAGCCGATGGAGCAGTGTTGAATGATCCAGAGGAGTGTAGAGGGGGAGACGGAGACTCATTCTGGCCGCCTTGCGCTGGATTCGCTCAAGACGGTCAAGGGCTGCGATTGAGAGCGGGGTGACAGCAATGCATGCATATTCAATTATGGGCAGGATATACGTTTTGTAAATGAGAGAGAGTGATTTAGTGTGTAGAGTTGATTTGAGCCTAAAGAGAATATTGAAAGATTTTACAGCTTTCTTTAGCACAAAGTCAAGGTGGGCTGACCATCTTAGGTCGTGCTGAAAGATGATGCCGAGGTGACGATGTTGTGTTACTGTTTCTAGTAGGGTTTGGCCAAGTTTTATTTCGGGTAGTCGTGGTGGGGGTCGGTTAGCATGGTAGAACGGGAGGATGACGGTTTTCGTTTTATTGACTAGCAGGTGCCAGCGCTCTAGCCATTCTGCTGCGGCATCGACGCTTCTTTGTAGCGCAGCCTCACACTCAATGTAGCTGCCTGCAATGGCAATCAGTGCGGTGTCGTCCGCGAACTGGCTACACGAGGTTGTAGCATTTTCACAGGCAGTGGGCAGGTCAATGGTGTACGCCAGGAACAGAAGTGGTCCCAGGACCGAGCCCTGGGGCACTCCCGCTGGTATTGGTATGAAGGCGGATGTTGTGCCTTCAACCTGCACCCGCTGTCTGCGTCCTGTCAAGTAGGCTTCGAGCCAATTGTGAGCCTTGCCGTCAACACCGTAGTGGCTCAGCTTTTTCAGCAAGCCTTGATGCCATACACGATCAAAGGCTTTACTGAGATCGAAGAAACACGTTACAACATGCTTCCCCGCATCCCTAGCTGTGGATATCTGGTGGACTATCCGTGCGAGTTGCAGTTCGGTCCCGTCTTGTTTCCTGAAGCCGGATTGGTTGGAGGGTAAGTGCGGTGCTATGTGATTGTACAGACGAGAGTGGACTATTTTTTCTTGTGTTTTTGATATTATACTGAGCAGGGAGATGGGTCGGTAGTTGGTAGGATGGGAGGGGTTGCCCGACTTGGGGATGGGTGTAATAGTTGCGTCTTTCCAATCCTGTGGTATTTCTCCGGTTCTGAAGGACAGATTGTAGAGACTAGTGAGAGATGGGGAGATTTCCTTTGCAGTTTCGTTCAGGAGCCGAGTTGGGATGTTGTCAAAGCCTGGGCTCTTGCCAGTGTCTAGACTGCTTAGAAGCTTCTCGACCTCTTCCACTGTTGCTGCGATTGTATTTAGAGTATGACTGATGTCAGGGGTAGTGTTGATGTCTTGTGTAGTACAGGTGGTCTTGTCGATGGACTGTTGGCTTTGGGAGATAAAGAACTTGTTGAGAGCTTTTGCCTTCTCCATAGCCGTGGCTGCAGTGGAGTTGGCTGTCGATAGTGTGGGAATTGTTTGCTTAGGCGGTTTCTTCAGGTGCTTCAGTAAACGGTGGAGGTTTGTACCCGTTGACGTTGTTTGCTGGACAAAATCGGACTTAGCCTGTCGCAAAAGAGCGGTTACTCGGTTACGCTGGGCTGTGTACAGTTTCCAATCTGAGTCTAGTTGGGTCGCCTTGTAGGTGCGGAACTGTTTGTGCTTTGTTTTGATATGGCTGAGGAGATCCTTCGTCATCCAGGGACGAGTGGGCGTAGAATTTTTGCGGGACTTGCTTCTGGTCACTTGGCAGTGGTGCACAGCTAGTTTCAGTATCTGGTCTCTCCAGAAGTTCCAGAATGAGGTTACTGGCTGAGGGTCAGTGGGATGTGGATCGTACTGCAGATTGCAGGTAGCAAGAGCTTCACGCAGGGACGCAATGCATTCCTCGCTCCACAACCAGTATGTGCTGGAGGTGCTTTGCTGTGTAGTACTGCTCTCATTTTTATTATTATCGGTATTATTGTTTCTGTGGGTGGTGTGCTGCTGGGGTTGTAGGTTGCATTGTATGACAACGTGATCAGAGGCCCCAATAGGGGGCAGGCTTGTGATGGTGATGTTATGGCGGCTGAGGCTAGAGATGGCCAGGTCCAGGCACGATGTAGGTGTGTGTTGGCATAGGTGGGTGGCAAAGGAGACGTGTTGTGCGAGGCCACAGGTCTCGCACAGCCAATGCAGGTCCTCACCTAAGGCATCAGTGGTGTCGCTGGGGTGCCACAAGCAGTTCTTGGCGTTGAAGTCGCCAAGGAGAAGTATCTCATCCTGGGGTCTTTCAACTAGCTTTATGGCTCTCTCCAGTTACATCACGAACTCTGCCGGGTCGGACCGCGGGGGACGGTAGATGTTCCCTACCACAAGGGAGGTTAGGCCGATTGTTATTCTAATCCGAATACATTCCGCTTGAGTCATGGGAATGGTAATTGTCTCGTGTTGGCAGCTGTGTGGTATGTATGTGGCGACTCCTCCACCAAAGGTGTCCCGGTCCGCTCTTATGAGTTTGTAGCCGTTGATGGCGTACATCCCGTCGCTGTCCGATGGATCCGCCCAGGTTTCCTGGATGGCGATTATTGACGGTTGTTGCTACTCTGCCACGTGGCTAAGCTCGTCCATCTTGTTGAACAGACACCTGACGTTCGAGCTGATGAAATTCGCGACTTCCATTTTTTATTTATTTATTTTTGTAATTTGTTTCGTTTTTTGGTATTTCCGCAATTGAAAGAATTGTTCTCACTGATATTGTGTGGAGGACAGCGCTAGGATTGAGTATCCTGTGACACCAGTGCCAGTGGGCTCAAGCGTGAGCCCTGTGCTGGGGCAAGGGGTTGGCTTTGGCCAGGGTCGATGTTGTTGCTCTCTGCGTCTGCGACGTCTGGTGCAGAGTTTCCATTCTTCCTCCGCTGCATTGAGCTTCTGCAGGAGTTGTTCGGCGCGAAACCATGTCTCGGCTATTGCGAGAGCGTGAATGCCTCGTGTTGAGATGAGCGTTTGAACTTCTGCTACCTTCCGCCGAACACTACACACATTCAAAGATCCCACACTGAGTGACTCGGTCGGGGAGTGTGTTGTCGCTACAATTGTTTGGTGTTACTCCTCGTCGAGGTGTTAACAATGTAACTTAATTTGTTCACTATGTTCTTGTCACTATTATTATTTCCTTCGAGTTTTGTGTCGTGCTGAACTTGATAATTTTCCACCTTGTCACGAGTGTTGTTATCTCATATCTTTACGCTATATAAGTTTTAGTCTTTCCAACTTGAGCCATTCCCTGTATAATCCTTGATGAGAAGGGACCGAAAACGTTCGGATACTTTGACAAGTGCCTTATTTTGACTGGATTTGTGTTTGCGTGGATAATTACGACCCAACACGTACCTTCGTTATTAAAGTATTATCCGCCTCCGACTTCTTGTAAAATTATTATTATTATTAACTTTTATTTTACTAGGGTGTTTCCCACAGACCTATGGTCTTTTACGGGAGCCCCTAGGAAGGTTATGCATGAGCGAATAAATGAGCGGTAATCGGTACAAGTACGAACAGTGGAAGGCAGCATATTCCACCGTTCTTGATCTTATCTTTCTTTTTTTTCTTTTCTCTTTTTCTTTTTTAAATGTTTTACTGCCAGAAGTTGCCTTCATATAAGGAGGCCGATATGCCTGTTTGTTGTACAACTTTAAATAAATCCAACCAACCAATTAACCAACCAACTAAAAATGGTCCACATGTCAATGAGCCATACTTCTCTACTAAAAATGAAATTGGAGATGGATTTAGCTCTTCTTACAAAGGAAGGCTAGAAACTGTTTCTAGAGATCTCCTCATGGCTCAAGCTTTCTAAAATTGCCATTATCACCCAAGGGAAACTAAATCTACCATTAAACCTTTGCGTGCTGAGTACGAGTTAACTCGCGCTTTATGCATGACCTGATCCACTACGTATGAGTTAACTCGCAAAAAATTCGCGCGATATATCGCAGTGCATAGACCAGTGTACAAACTTTCGTGACTTCGTCAAACATAAACACATTGCGACAATCAATACACCGTTGGAAAGGTCTTGACCAAATCGTTCCGTCGATATAAAGTTCTTCACGATAGGATAATAATTCATTGAGCGGCGACAAGATGAACACGGAAATCACGGCCCAGAGTGAACGCGAATTTTTTTGTTCATGACTTCTTTTTGTTGGGGAGTGTACCGGGGGATTTCCCTTTGGCACGGCGCATGCGTGATGGACATCAAATGAAGCGCTTGGATCTCAGCTTTGAAAGTTTAAATTGTGAACATCGGTTGAATTTGGGCAAGAAGCCGAACAAGAATGTAAAATTGAGTTGTGCCGTTCCGAGACACGGTGGAGTAGTTTGGAGAGGACGTGGAAGTTGCCCTGATGTGTCTATGGAGCTGAGAGCTGCCAGGATGAATTCGCTTGGTCCTGATCTTTCCAATGAGCCCAGGACGATGAAAATCCATCGAGGTGGAGTGAAATGAGAATATATTTCGTTCGGAGCTGAAAGTGCATACTCCACCAAGAGAGCGAGTGCGCTGGAAAGCCAGTGGATTGGAGAAAAGGGGCTCAGAATGCAAAGGGTTAAAATAGGCCACGTTGTCTGGCTAGTACTGAGAATTTGTCCACTTTGACGGACGGATAAGGGTTAAATGCATCAGAATACCTTTTATATGCCAGGTGACCCTACCTAAAAACTATTATCAAATTGAAGAGAATGCATCACTCCGTCATTCTATGCATAAAAAAACCTTGTGTCTCTGGACCTTTTTTTCTTCTTCCGTTTGGTGGGAGCCTCCTCTAACAAAAACTTACTCTGAATATTACTGGTCTGGATATATTTTTTGGTTTTCAAAGCACTGTTGCAATTAGTTTCCACAAACCCATTCTTAGCAGCAGAGCAATTAAACGGGGGTTGGTTGATATCCGCAGAGAATGTGACGTTGTGATGAGTCTGACCAGTTGTGTAAGTAATGTCATTTAGTATGGTATAGCGAGTCGTTCTACATTCACCATCAGAACAACGGGAGGAAGATTGACCAGGCTGTTCTACACCATTGAGGAGCACTTTCATAGTAGGTTTCGGGTATCCATGTGCATCGCATGAAACTTGGAACATAGCGTTGCCATACAAACTAGGCAAGGTAAAATGTTGAATAGATGGCAATGCTGTGAAGAACAAGAAGGCAATGGAACAAGTAGAAAGATGGGATACGTATCCAAGACTATACTGGAAAGCAAGGTACATAGCCAAAGTAGATAATCCAATCCCCGTGGGATTCTGTCCGCCGTGGACAAAGGGAAATCTCAACACAATCTCATACCATCAAGAGTACATGAGTGTGCAGTCTCAACACAATCTCATACCATCAAGAATACAAGATTGTGCAACTCCACACAATCTCATACCATCAAGAATACAAGAGTGTGCAATCTCAACACAATCTCATACCACCAAGAATACAAGAGTGTGCAATATCAACACAATCTCATACCATCAAGAATACAAGAGTGTGCAATCTCAACACAATCTCATACCATCAAGAATACAAGAGTGTGCAATCTCAACACAATCTCATACCATCAAGAATACATGAGTGTGCAACTCCACACAATCTCATACCATCAAGAATACAAGAGTGTGCAATCTCAACACAATCTCATACCATCAAGAATACAAGAGTGTGCAATCTCAACACAATCTCATACCATCAAGAATACATGAGTGTGCAACTCCACAGATAGCTGCTACAAGTAGCCTGTGCATTTGTTGTGGATCACCGCAGTACATTGTGTTGACGTCACTTTTTTAGACCCTCCAACGCATGTGGTACAAAGCATTGGTATTGAAGCCATGCTTTCCATTGGAGTGGGACTTACATAGGGAGTTTTACTTTTGCTACTTCAAAACGAACATTTATTCAACTTTACTATTTCTTTACCCTTTTTGTGTACTCTCCAGCAGTGCATGACTTGTGCGGTATAACTCATGATCCACAGGAAATGTGACGTGGACAAAACATTCCTCCCCAGCCCAAACCAATCGGAGTTGCACACTCTCGTTTATGAACTCTTGATACCATGCCTATGCAGGGGCGTAGCCAGGATAGTGATCACGGGGGGTGCCACGACTTTCCCCACACAAAAGTACATGCACTTATGTTGGTCCTTTTAAGTTTCATGCACATTATTCTATCCGTGAAATGGGGGGGGGGCAAAATTCGCCCCTAATTTGATGCTGAAAATCAATCAGTAAATGGCAAATCTCCAACCAGGGAGTAGTAATTATTATGATATGAGCCAGGGACTACAGAAACCACCCTATGGCACTTTTTGGCGAAAATTTTTTTTTCTCTCAAAATGTTGGTATGGTATGGTAATGTGCTCAAACAAAATTTCGAGTTGATCTGCGGTGGTAAAATGTGCCTAATCACCTATTTAATAATGGCATATCAATTAAGCGATATAGAGCAAATTTATGCACACAGTTTTGTAATGTTCTTTGTATATCTTCATTCTTGCTAGTTAGGCAGGTCAAATGTATAGTGAACTATGCCCTCAGCTTCCTCCAGTGACGCCTGCGCGCCGTCCACTAAATCTCGGTAGTACTGCCGCTCCTCTTGTGGTAGTGATATATGCGAACGCAGGGCCTGGACACTACATTCCGTCTCTTCCTCTGTACGGGCAACACGTCTCGAGCTTGCTGTGACTCCATGCCGCATGCGTCTTCTTCTTAGGTGGCATATCATCGCCGTCGCTGTCAGCATCGGTGCCGGAATCGCTCGCGGACGACTCGCGGGTGCCAGCGCTGAATCCGTAAAAATTCTCGTCGTCCGATTCAAGCGCCTTCGCATCAGAGACTAGTCGACTCCACACAGAATCGAGCTGCGTCGTCTACTAGATGTTATAGCCATAATCAATCACAGTAAGTGGAGCCTCATGCGTTACTCGACAATCGCTCGAGCTCGGAATCCTTCCCCGAATATCTAAGAGGACAGCTCTGGAGTCTTGTCAAAACAAAAGTGACGAGTTCTGCGCTTCGCTTAACTATTACTTTGAGTCGCGTGACTTTGAAACGTCATGACTTGATTTTGATATCAAACGTCGTAGGGCGGTTTCTATAGTCCCTGGCTCATATTTTAATACTCCCTGCTTCCAACTAATGATGGACCAAGTCCTGGATGCTGCTTTCTCCAGAATTATCACACTCTCCATCGAACTTTTAAAGTGGGATTTCTCGAGCCATGTTTCCTCTTCATGTTGTTTGATAGTGCAGTAAGGCATCTTGATCAAACCTACGCTAAGTTATTCCCCACAAAAACTCAAACTGCACTTCACCATTACTTTCACTCTTCTGCTGCTGTACCCACACTTGCAACACTTAAAAGAAACTGTGCCTTTCCACAACCTCCATCAAGACCAATTAACAGCCAGAACTACATTATACAAAAACATAGCGAGAGTAAACTGCTATGTCTGACACGCGCTTTCCGGCCATAGACCACGTTGCCACTTCCTTGCTTCTACCAACGGCGTGTTTTGTATGATTCCTTGCTTCTAACAGAACATGTGGTGTGTGATGCAAATCATGCGCTGAGCCTGCTGAGGCCTGATGTGACACTGCACAACAGCAGGCATGAAGCGGAGTTCCCTTGACTAGAAATTTCATTGCAAATTGGTCATGAGACAAAAATTAATAGTCAACTGCATGTGGATTGGTTTCAGATACATTGTACTTGCAGGTCTAAACCAGGGAGTAGTACCTACTACTCCCTGGTCTGAACAGGGATCGCTACAGTGTGAGTGCGATGTGCAGAGTGGCACACATGTAATTAGCGGTCTGCGTATACTATACTATGGTCTCTCTCTCTCTCTCTCTCTCTCGAACCAGCCTTGAAACAAGACCGAAATTTTTGAGGGGGACTTTGGCACCCAAAACACCCCCTTGCCTGCGCCCCTGTTATGGGCACCTGTACAAGAGTACTATACACAAGCAGAGACCCCACCCCACATACACACCCACACCAACAAATCTTACCCACCCACACATGCACAACGGTTGAGGAGTGCCCAACACCGTGTGGTGAAGCACGAGCACCCGGTAGGGATGTAGTTAGGGGTCATCAGTACTGTTTGAAATATTAAAAAACCTCCTCGTACAAAAATGGCATGGGTGGTGAAGAAAAACAATACCACTCAAAAGTTAAAGCAGAGTTTTCTGCTCTGGATGATTTTCAGGTTGAAATAGTAGCAGGAGACCCAAACATAAGACATGATAAAATATATTTGGGGAAGCTGTCACCATTGGCTTGGCGGAGATTGTGACGTAAACATGCCAGTAGCAGAGATGTGAGAAAAGCTGATATTTGTTCACCCTGAGAGCACCGCGAGTATGATGGTGAGGTGTCTTCCCCCCCCCCTCCACTCAGTCTGTAGTGCATAAGGCATCTTCTAACTGTTGTCAAATGTCTTTTTGTCTTACTGCTGTTTTATTACCCAATGACCTATCCCTAGAACCAACAGATACCCCTCCAACGACACGGACCACAAAAGCAACTGCCTCAATTGGTGTTTTTTTTAGCCTCTCCTCATCAGCTTTTCAGAACACCTTTCTTGATATCCAAAACGAAACATGACCCTACACATGATGTGTTGTCTATGTTGCACTGTACAAGGCTTTGATATGCACACTGCTGCATCCTGGCCTTCCAGGCATCGAACAGCATCACGCCCACTATTTTCCGTTCACCTTCTAATATAATCTATGGTAGGTCGTCTGGCAGTCGTTGTCGAAGGTGTGCTGGAAGGCCAGTTGTTCACAAAGTGACTTGCTGATGAGTACAAAGCTTGGCCATATTGAGAGAGAGAGAGAGAGAGAGAGAGAGAGAGAGAGAGAGAGAGAGCAAGAGAGAGAGAGAGAGAGAGAGAGAGAGAGAGAGAGAGAGAGAGCACGAGAAAGTGCGAGAGAGTGAGAGAGAGAGAGAGAAAAGGAGAGACAGAGAGAGTAAATAACATTTATAAAGACAGGTAAATCTAACAAATGAGGACTGAGACCTTTACAACAGGGTTTTTACGCCTGAAAGCAGGTGCATGATTTAACAAGCAGGTTGTCAGTCTAGATTTTATGCGCTGAAAAATGCGCAGGATTTTTGTAATGAGATGAAAAGCAGAAATAATAAGAAATAATGAGAAATGATGAAATGAAAGCCTGCTCAACACCTCGCCCAGCCTAGCGAACTGGGAATGGTGGATTAACCTTTTGAGCACGCGTGACATTCTGACACATCATGCACACTGCCACTGTGACACGCGTGACGTTCTAGAACGTCACGAGTCAGTACGGAACTACATCGATTCCGCGTTTCTTCCGTGGCGTGGCATCGAGCTGAACCACACAAAGGTCTCCTAGGATGTACGAGTACAGTAAAAAAATGCGAATCGCTCCGTAAGTTTGTACTGGAGTTACATGCGGGTACATAAATTTCAACATACCAATTTTCATCACTTTTTTTCTTACTATGCTTGTATCCTCGCTGTTCCACTGCAAGTGTATAAATCCTATTGTAGTTTCATCATTCTCTTTAGTCACGAATTCCATTGATAATTGTGACAAGAAAACGTTCTGGAATACATGATTCGTCCCCATGGTTGTGATATGAGTGCGCATTTAGTTATATTCATTGCATTATTAACTTTTGTAATCTTTGTTTTATATCCATTGTTTTATATTTGATATCTGCTTATCCATGCCGGTTCCTTTTTCTTCTTCTCCCCTTCTCCCTTCCTTGCCGTGGTTTGCTAACACCCTCTCTCTTTTGCATTGGCCGGTGTTCTCACTGTGCTATGAGATGCTGTAATAAATAAATAAACGAGCGAGCTTGGAAGCTCAGGGCCCTACGCTATGCTTTTTTTGCCTTGATGACCTAGACAAAAAAAGCATAGGGATGTTATAAATTCTTATTTCTACTTTTTGTTTTTAGACATAACATGGGATTCGAACCCGCACCATCGCCCTGCATGCATTCCCCGATACACTTCGCATCCATACTAATTCTTCCAAGTTGCTTCACGTTATGATCTTGTATTTGAAAGCCCTATTTGAATATGTATTGTGGCCAGCCGTCTTTGATTGTAAGGTACGGTACGGGATAGGAACGGGACAGGAACGG